AAATCGTTAGCAACCCGTACCTGAACCGCAATCGCATATGCAAATGAACATGGGTTTTTTGACAAACGTTCGAGCAACACTTCCAATTTTTAGTGAGCTTAAAATTTGCATTTTTTCAAAAAATTTGCATTTGTCATTTATTCACAAAGCGCGCATTTACCGAAACCCAGGCTGGAACGCAGGCGAGCCGGTGCGATCATGCGTTTTTGCACCAGACTTGAAATAATTAGGTTAACTGCATGAGTAGCTGTTTCTTTACACCTACCTTGTGCTCTCAATACTGTAACTCATCGTAAACTTTGCATTAAAAAAAATAAACAATATCCGTTTAGCGGTCGTTTTTTGAAAATGACCAGCCGTTCTATTAGTAATTTCCCGCCAAAAATTTAAGTGCCCGTGGACGAGAACCATGCACGCCTGGGGGCTGAATTCGATAATTTTAAGTCGTAAGTGGATTGGGAACATTCCCTGAAAATTTCAGCTTCCGATCTTCACTAATTCCCGAGTTAGCCATTTTCCCGCCGAAAAATTTCGCTGGGCCGCACGTGGAAACCGCGCAAGCCTGGGGGATGAATTTGATGAAATTAAGTCGTACATGAGTTAGGAACATTCCCTGAAAATCTCAGCTTCCCAGCTTTGCTAATTCCCGAGTTAGCCATTTCCCCGCCGAAAAATCTCACGGGGCCGTACGCGGGAACCACGCGTACCTGAAGGCTGAATTTGAAATCTTTGAGTTATATTTGAACGGGGAACATAACCTCAAAACTTCAGCTTCCTACCTTTTCGCGTTCCCGACTTATAAATTTTCCAGCCAAAACTTTCCCCCTCTCGTACGCGGGGCCCAGATGTGCGTGAGAGATGGTACCGCGGTTCTGGGGTGGCACTTGGCCACTCATCAGCAAAATTTCGGCGCTGGAACTTGCTCGGTTGCCGAGTTGAAATACCCGGACAGACGAACACACACACAAACATACACACACACACATACATACACACACAGACGGGGTCGTCTCAATATGCGTTTTTGCAATTTGCATATAGGCAAAAACGCACTAAAAACGAACGGACTTCATGCAAACCCAGGCTGAAACGCACCAGATGAGCCGGTGCGATCATGCGTTTTTGCACAATACTTGGATTAGGTCAACTGCTGTCCCTTCACACCT